ATTGTATTTGCTAAAAAAATATCATACCCAGAAAAATACGTGAATACGTATGCAAATTAGTCATCTTATTTACTTTATATTGCTCACTGTATAGAGCCAGAGAGAGAGTGAGAACTGGGTCATCAAAGTTGAAGCCTTTCTTTATTTCCAGGTAAGCAGTCATAAGAAAGTGCTGACTGCAAATGGCAGGGGAAACAGTATGATCATTAAGGCAGTTTTCCTAGTTACTGGGGATAACTGCTTTTCTGGCAAGGGGTTGTACCTGGGCAGAGGTATTGCATAGTTAACCTCCCACTGCCATTTCCAGGGGGAAGGTCTTGGCTTTATGCCCACTTCATGGAAATGGGAGACTTCTCCCTAAGTTGCTCCTGCAGTTGCATGGCTGAGGAAAAGCGAAACTCGGGGCATCCAAACCCCAAGTCTCTGGGCTTGGGTCTGCATGTAGGATGCCTGCCAAATGATTTGGAAGCACCTGAAGCCCCAGGCAGGGCTGGAGGATGTTTGCCGATAGTAGGGCCAAATACGGTTCTTGAATGACTCACGGATTTGGAATTGATTTGGCTGATTTGGAACATGAAAAATAAAAAAATAAAAAAAATCCAGAAGTCAGGCTAAGATCAAATGGTGCCAGCTGAATCCCAAGACCTCCAGGTTTGGGCCTCTACATAGGCTGCCTGCCAATGGATTTGTCAGCATCTGAATTCCCTGGGGTGAGAGCCTGGGACAGAAGATGTGTGCCGGTTGTAGTGCCATACATGGTGCGTAGAACGATTGACTTCTGCCTGCTCCATCAATATGATTTGGAACTGATTTGACCTGGAATACAAAATAGATTAATTAAAAAAAGAAAACCCAGAAGCCAGTTAAGGTTCCCTGAGACTGACTTGGGTTTTGCAATGTGCTGCTTTAATGAGCTGCCTCAACAAATGACTGCATTTTGAAGGGGTGTAGGTTGTAGCTGTGTTAAGAACATAGGCAGACAAGGTTCTTTGGGTAAATCTGATACCTTTTATTAAAACAACTTAAATAATTGGAAAAATTCTTCTTAGTAAGCTTTGGGTATAAATACCCTTTGTGAGGCTGAGGAAGCATCTGCAGTTGGTGTGTGCTCTTCCTGAACGGAAGGATTAGTAAAGAAGCCAGAGGCTGGGCTGCATGCAAGTCAGTGGAGATGTAAATTGGGGAGTCAGTGGGTGAGAGACAGGTGGGACCATGGGGGGAAGGGGAATGAATGTAGCTGCTAACTAGTGAAGAGGTACCTGGGGAGTCAGACGGCAGGCAGGTTATAATGCGTCATAAATCCGATGTCTGTGTTTAGTCCAGACAAGGTTTGTTGGGTGAATCTGATATCTTTTATTAGACCAACTTAAATAGTTGGAAAAAAAATGTTCTTAGAAAGCTTTTGGATTTAAAAACCCTTCGGTAGGCTGAGGAAGGGGTTTTAAGCCCAAAAGCTTGCTAAGAATTTTTTTTCCAACTGTGTGTGACTGGTGCCTCGGGGGGGGGGAAGGGGTACCTTCCCCCGGACAGTCGGTGACTGGGGGCAGGGGCCACCCTGTGGCCGATCCTGCCGACCCACAACTGGCCACTGGCACGGCCAGGTCGGCGGGGTGGGCCGTGGGGGGCCCGCTTCTCCTGGCGCGCTGCCCGGCCGCCGCGTTCAGGGGGCACACGCAGCCCCCTCGCACCCCCTGCACCTCGCCACTGCTTCCCACTATGTCAGTCCATCCGGTATCAGATTATTTACTCAAAGCACCTTGCCTGCCTAAGTCCTTACACCAACCCGGCTACAACCGACACCCCTGTATTTAGTCCATGGTTTATATATTTATTTTTTTCGCACACTTCTGCTGTACGGTACAGTTCGAACACTTCCACTCGGGCAGGTCCTACAAGGGTGGAGACACGAGAAGGCTCCGGTGGGCGGCCTTGTGGCGAGGAGCCAGCCTGCAGCGGCGGGAGCGCGGCTCCTCCCC